TCGCTCCTTTCCTTTCATTAGCTTTATCTCTAATGTTCTAACCTTTTTAAAAAGAATAGATTCAGTGTATTACTTTACTTAAGTAACTAAAAAAGAAAAAAATCCAAACAAAAGCATTATGTGTATAAAATAAATTTTGAAGGGGGCAGTTATGAGAACTGAAAGAGAATTAACGTGTGGTTTTGGCAGAGACAATAATTTTAGGAGCCCCGCCTTGCCAGCATGGCCTCACCCTCATTTCTTCTAAAATCATTTGCTGACTCATTTGGTTCCAAAACCACTAATATTGTGTCACATGACTGAGAAATAGTGGAATCATCACAATCTTCAGAAATTCAGGTAGCCAACCTGTTTTTTCCTCCAGAAATATGTTCCTGATGATCAACTTTCATCAAGAAACACTGATTAGTCAAATAACTTAACAAACATATCGAACACCCTAAGTATTTAAAAAATGCTCAGGGCCATTTGGAGTTATAGAAACAGATATCCATTAAGAGATTAATTAAGCTGCATAATTGTGTTTTCATCTTCAAAGCTGCAGTTCATCTGGGATGTGGTGGCTCATACAATTTTCTCTCACTGTGATGGCATCAAGAACAGCACATAAAACACCAGGGACAGCAGATGACTGGGCTGTACTACAGTCACTGTCCATAACAGGCAGCAGTCACTCACTTTGCAAAGGCAAGAGTTTACAATATCTCAACCAGCATGACTTTTATCTATACTAGGTATATATCTCCTTGGGAGGAGGTTGGCATTTCTGAAGTAACATCCTACATACAAAGTAGGCTAGAAACAAGAAGTAGATATATGCATCTCAGCTGAGGCATACATAACCCAAGTAATGAGAAAAGCTAAGAATACAATGGTTTGTATGAATTCCTTGTTCTCCTGGCGGCTCTATTTGATGAGTCTTCAAATGCCTCTTCTGGAAGTCTTCAGGTCTCCTTCAGAAGTTGTCCTGAGCTACACACGCCTTGCTCTCCTCTACTATAAACAATATAAGAAATAGCATGTAACCTTTAGGCTGCCTAGGTAAGCAGTAAATATTGTTTTATTATACTGTTACATGAAGCTTTTTCCATGAAGTGTCTTTTTTTTACGCATAACCTGTTCATTCAGTAAAGAGGAATAGGCTGAATTATATATCCAATTACAAAAAATGTTACAGTACAATACATCAAAGAAAAAAAAAAGAGCCACAATTCCTTATTTACAAGCCTCATATCCAAAAAAGCTCTGAAAACACAAAGTTTCTTTCTAAGTTTGTTAAAAAAACTGACCTGGCCTGACATAGGCTCTTATAGTCTTTATCATACTTGGTGTCATTCACACAATGGCCACAGAAATATTAGTGTGCTTGAAAATGGGTGCCACCCTAGTCTCTCCTGGGAGTTCTAAGTATTTTATATGTACCTACTTTTCCAAAATCTGAAGAATTTTGATTCCAAACACAACGAGTCTTAGGTTTTCAAATAAAGGATTGTGAAGTGGTATTTCCCTAAACTATTTAAGATAGAGTATTTCTACCAAACCCAAACAGGGTACCACTAAATATTTTTGTCCCATAGTACGTCATCAGAATGAATCTCTAGGAGAAAAGAAAAGGCATTTTAGAACAGCTGCAGAAATTAATAGGCTGCATGAAAAACTGTCTCAGGAATAATGTGGTAAGTGATATAGCTATAAGACACAGCATAATTTACCAGAAGCTATTAATGCATAAAGACAGCATAAAACAGCACTACTGCTAAGAGTTGTTTGCATAAGAATGAAAAGGCCCACTCTTCTGAGGCTTCTTTTAGATACAGTGCTTTCGGACATTTTCCTTTAGTAGGTCTTAACCTGTTTAAACATTAGAATCTCCTTGGAGAGCTTTCTAAAAACAACTGATGCATGAGCATCACCTTCAGACATTTTTATCTACTTGGTCTAGAAAGGGCTTTGCCAAGAGTGTTTTAAAAAATCCTCTACATTCTAATGTGAAACAGGAGCTCTTTAAACTCCCAATACCCAGGCTGTACCCCAGAGCAGGTCAACTAGAATATTGATGGTGAAGTCCAGACACAGGACTTTTTTTTAAAGATGCCCAAAAAGTTGACAACCAATGGTTGAGACCCACTGAGTTGCTTGGCATAAGGATTAAAGATGTTTACTGTTTTGTGTTTTTTTTCCTGTCCTGAACCAAGTTAGTTCTAGATCATCACTCTAGAAGGGTCACAGTAAAGAATTCTAAGCTTTATCCACTCTGATATGGTGATTTATTTATGGGCTTGTTCTCCAATTTCTCTTAACAATGCAAAAGGAGCAAAGGGGAGAAAAGTATGGAAATCACATGAGAAATATTTAAAAATACTTTTAGCAAAATAATCCATGGCATATCAAACTCCTTTATCACAGAATTCATAGTGAAGAACAAAACAGAATTCACTTTGAGTCTATGATCTAGGAAATTATAGCCTCTTTCAGTTACTTCTGGATCGCAAACAAACAAAAAAATTAAAAATAATTTTCCAGTTATTCTTTTAACTGTTCACGATGCCAATGTAAATCAGATTCCTATACAAATTTCAAAGAAAGCTAGAAAATACAATAAAAATATTAATTCAAGATAACTTCTGCTGAGATCAACTGAAATATATATTAAGGTGCACATTTTTAAGATACAAGATAAGTATCTTTTACTTTTACTTAAAAATAACTTTTTTCATGCATTCTAATGGTCATATGAAAAAGACAATTACTTTTTTTTTCTTGCTAACCCTGAGGAAGGAAGAATAAATGTGGAGTAAGTCTCACAGCTGACTAGGAACCAAACTCCACACTTTTCACAACTGTAAATGGCAAGTAATAGACGTCCAGGACTACCTCGATTCAGGATTCCACACACATCAGTTTAAACCACTTAAAACAGATCTAACATTTAGGCAAATGGCACAGTGAACATTTCTCTGCCACAACTGAGAATCATGTTTAAATTTCATCGTTGTTAGTCCCTACACTGTTTTAAACCAACAAAACAAAATTTCTGTCTACCACACAGGAACTTCCAGTTCAATATATAGGGATATTATTAACTTCATTGCTCAGAAGCTTCATTCTGTAGAAGAAAAATATGAGTAAGTCCTATGCACACTTGTCTTTCAGTACAAAGGTGTTAGTATTACAAAGGAGCTGATATGAGGAAAAATGCGGCATTCCGTCACCATGGAATAGGGGAAGAGCTGGCCTTTCTCCTTTGCCATTACAATTATTCTTCTTAGGATGAACTTGGGATTGCAAATTTAGCTGAACTTCCCACAGTCATAACCTTTATAAATGAAATAAAGTTCATTCCATGGGCCAAAAAACCCAAGCAGCCGTCGGGAGTAAGAGGGCAATAAGAACAGAAGAAAACAGGTTCACTGCATTATTATCAAGAATGGGTTTCCCTGCTATGTACTTGACTTCATTTGTTGGGCTGTTGACCACCATGCCGGTGCTTTCATCCAAACCTGGAGTGGAAAAGAAACAAGTAAGGTGGAAAATCCACATGACTTGATTTAAAACAAATTAAGTCTTCTCCGAAAAAAGGAGATCATCTTTGAAAGACTCTCAGCCACTTGTAAAATGACTATAGTGGATAATCCATATGGTGAGAGATGCGGAACCTGATTACAAAAGACCTCTTTGAAACATAAGTTTCAGGGCACCTCAGTACTGTTCTCAACACTGCTGGAGTTCCTTCACAAGTAGAAGGGAGAACATGAAAGGCAGAGATGGCATGAAACTGGCAGACCGGGCCAGTGGTTCCCCTCCAAGACCATCCTGTGAGGCCCCTGAGAACATGGATCATGTCTGTGGCCTCTGCAATGGATACCCAGGACCCAGCATGGTGCAGGCATCAAGGGGGCAAAGATTACAGAACAAATTCATTTGTCCCACAGCCCACATATACCGTCAACATATTCAACACCACCACATACCTACCTGGTCAGGGCCCAGTTTAGAATAAAACCTAGGCTCTTTAAAAGCACATGTGTAATATTTGTGTGTGAGTGTGCATATACAGTTACTGACCCTTTACTGTGAATTAAAATCAGATTGCTTCCTCCTTAGCATCTAGATGAGCCTAACGAAATCAAGAGAACAAACATGGATTGGTGGGGAGGGGAGAGGAAGGGCAAGTAGATTATTTAAGAGCATGAAGAGAATTGGGAGGACTACTTAGGGAACCTTTCTCTCAGGATCTCAGCTTCACTGTATGAATCAAAAGAGAAAATATGGTTGGTTAGAGTGTGGAGCAATACCTACCTAACAGGGTATTAGTTAATATATAGAATAGTAACAGTTAGTACACTTATATGACAAGAGAGCCTCAGAGGTAAACACAGAACACTGGGGAGAGAACTACTCTCCCATATATCTTGAGTGAGGCTAAAAAGTCAGTGGGGAGGACAGCAAGCACAATGTCACAGCATAAAAGTAAGGTCATATGTATATAGTTAGAGTACTGCAGTAATTATCTCTCAAATGGACTTGGAAAACAAACAGAAGGAGGACTATTAAAATGATCTGATCCCAAATATCCTGCTTTCCTGGGATTAGGTGGAACCCCATAAGCAAAAGCATCTGTTTCCTACACTATCATATCCTCCCAACATAGCTTCTATTCAATGCTCTGCAGGACAAATTCTCTTTCAATTAATTTAACATAAAAGAATAAGAAAATCAAAATTGTAGAAGAGACTTTGCCCTATCACTCCTGGTTCCCCAACTACTGGTGTCTTTGGGATTGTTTTCATCGCCACATCCTTTTTTCTTTTCCACACTCTTTACAATTTCTTTAACACACAGGCAAGTTGCAATAATAAGGTGATGTTCTTACCAGTAAACTGCATTGTAGCTCCTAAATATGAGTCCACAATGGATCCTAGTAGTCCAGCCAGACCCCCAAATGCAATAATTGGCCACTGGGGAGCAGAAATGTCCAAATCATTAACAAAAACCAACTGTGTGAGGAAATACGCAACGCCCACAGAGGCACCACCAAGGAGACTGGAGGCAAGGCCCACTATTGTAACCCCTCCATTGGTCCCTGAAGAAGAAACATGGAGAAAGCCATCTGGTTAACAATCAGCAAACACATAAAGTCAAGGAAAACAAAAATACTTGGTACTTATCTAATCAAGACTAATTTAAAGAAAGGATTCTTTTTGATTAAATCCAAAGACCATCTCCTATTTAGAATACAGTGTTCTTCCTTCAGTTACTCCTGACATTCTACACACTGAAGCAGAATAGTTCAGTGGAGCCAGACTGCCTGGTTTCAGTCTGGTTCTGCCATTTCCAAGCCATGTGACTGTGGTGAAGTTACCTAACTTTTCAATGATGTAATTTCCTTATTTGTAAGATGGAAATAATAAGAGAACCAACTCACATGACGATTAAGAGTACTAAATGGTATTCTATGGAAAGCAGTTAGAACAGTGGTCTGCACACAGTAGATACTCAAATGTTAGTTGTTATGGTGATGATGATGAGGAGGAAGAAGATGAGGAAGTTAAAAAGGAGAAGGAGAGGGAGAAGAGGAAAAGGAAATGAGGGAAAAGAAGAGAAGGAAGAAGAGAAGAGAAGAGGAAGGGGGAGGTCGGCATGATGACATGACTAAGATAAAGAAGTACTAGCAGTCATAGTGATGACGATCGTGATGGGAAACTGAGATACACGTTAAAGCACTAACCACATCAGACCCTCAAGAAATACTCTATTGTTTCCCTCCTTTTCCCTTCCCACTGACATGTCAGTGAGTCAGTCTCTGCCTCTGTATTGCTTATCTAGAACATGCTATTATTTCTGTGACTATTATTATCACCAACCTGATAGCCTATAGTAGTTTTCCAATTAAGGAAAATATTCTTAAAAGGCTCTTCAATAAAACATTATAAATCATTTTTTGGCTCATTTTTTTTTTTTTTAAGAACTAAAATCAAGACTCACCAACTGGAACTTTCTCCCAGGTTGTTATTAGTCTTGGTGGGCTTTTACTCAGCACAGTGCCAACTTCTGAGGCCCATGTGTCTCCAGCACAGCAGGCCAGTGCAGCCAAGAGAGACAAACACATCCAGGAAGCGGTGTACTGCTTGGAAAAATCTATTGGGATCTCCCCAGGGCCATTTTCTATCATGTACAGCAGGGCCAGTTCTGTGGGCACAGCTCCATTACAGAACACCTGAACCCAATTCCTCTGCCCGCCTAGAAACAAACAAGTAGAAGAAAAGGACGATAAATGTTTTCTGCTCAGAGGAGAATCATACAGTTACAGGAACTTACAATCTCAAGTTTAAGAAAAGAAAAATGACTAGAAGTCTAAAAATGACTGAAAGTGGGATGGTAACTTTGCTTACATTCTATATTGTTAGGAATATATAAAGGTTACTGTCTGAAGTAATATCAAACATATTTCACTTTACCTTCCTTGTATTCTGAATCTAGACGCTTCTTTGCTTCTCCCTTCCATTTAGTAAGTTTTGAAGAAGAAAGGAAAAACATCAGCAAAGATGTAAAAAAGCTGAAATTTGCAATGGTTAAGATAAATCCAACCACGAGCCCTGAAAGGAACACATATATACACAGAATTATACTTAGTCCATACATTAATGCTGTGAAAAAAGAATGGAAAATTTTTCAGTTATTTTCATATTAGAACCTGAAATGTACATTTCCAATACATTTACATTTTTTTTTTAATTGAAGGGTAGTTGACACACAGTATTACATTAGTTTCAGGTGTACAACACAGTGATTTAACATTTATATACATGATAATTCTAGGTACCAGCTATCACCATACCAAGTTGTTACAATATTTTGACTATATTCCTTATGCTATACATTACATCCCGGTTACTTATTTATTTTACAATTGGAAGTGTGTACTTTTTTTTTTTTTTTTTTTAAGGCATCTCTCATATTTATTGATCAAGTGGTTGTTAACCACAATGAAATTCTGTATAGGGGGGTCAATGCTCATACATTTACATTTTTACCAACTAAGGTGTTATTACCTAACAGTAAACTGAACGACAGTTTGATTAAATTGAGATGCCCTTCTTTAACCATATTCTGACCTCCTTTCACACAAACTATGTTATATGAATGTATTATATTATTTTAGGCACATTTTTTATAATAAAATTTCAGAATACAATGAATAGTAGCAAATTTAGTATTAAACAATATGTACATACATGTATTATATATAATATTTGGATAGCTAGTTTGAAGAATTTCCAAATTAACTGTGGTTCTCTCAGGAAAGAGTAAGATTGAACAGTCTTTCAAGTTTCTAATTTTCACACTTCTCTCCATAGTCTAGGATTTTTTTCTACTTTATAAAGGGAAGCTTTTATCCTTTTCAAGTAATTTTCACGTGCTCTCCTGTTGAGCTTCACAATTTATGTGAGGCAAACAAAGTGTTTTGGAGCTAAGCTTTTCCTATGTAAATCTATGAAAATAATCCTGGATTTTATATGGAACTAAAAATCAAGTATGTTCTGTGAATCAGATTTAGCTTTTATTTGGGCAAAGTAGAAAGAAAACATCCTTCATTTTTCTATGAGTGACCAATTTCAAGGAAGGCTTATAATACCTATACTTTAATCAGTAAACAAAAAAGAGGGAAGCTTACATTTCATGACAGAGAAGAGAAAAAAAAAAAAGGGAAGGTATATGCTTGATATCACAGCAATACAGAGAGGCCACTAAAATGAACTGCTAAATGTCAGACATGCTTGAGACTTAAAGAGCTTGCTGTGGGTTGCTTTAATAAGACATATGTTGGCCTTTTAAATTACCCAGATAATCCTTAAAAGCCTTTTGTTACAAAACTTGAAATTGTTCTTCTGAGTAAAACTTGATAACTGAAGTAGCAAGTAGTTTTACTTTTATATCCACAATGATTTAGTTAGTCCTACAAAAATGAACTAGAGGAGAAGCCAAGATGCCAGCATGAAGAGGGCAGCGGAAATCTCCTCCCAAAACCATATGTATTTTTGAAAATACAACAAATACAACTAATCCTAAAAGAGAGACCAGAAGATACAGTACAACAGCCAGGTTACATCTACATCTGTGAGAACTCAGCATCTCACGAAGGGGGTTAAGATACAAGCCACAGCCCCGGCGGGACCCAAGCATGCCCCCCACCCCAGCTTCCCGGTGGGAGGAAAGGAGTGGGAGCAGGGAGGGAGTGGGAGCTCAGGACTGCTAATACCCAGCCCTAGTGATCTGTACCGGGAGTACAGACACACATTGCATGGTGCTCTGGATATTAGAGAAATGGAAAAGTAATATCTGTGAGTGGGTCCCTGCAGCCAGTTCCCCTGGGACAAAAGAACAGCGAGTGCTTTTTGAAAGTTTTAAAGGGACAGGGGCCTCACAACCGGATGGCAGCATCCCGGCACACTCAGCCCAGCAGCTGGGAATCCCGGGGAACTCCAGGTGCCCTAACCCCCTGGACAACAGCACTGCTCTTAAGACCCTTATGGTGATAAACAGCCTCCCGTCCATTCCCCCTCCGGCATGACCCATCCATAGCAGTGGAGCGGCTGTGCCCACAGCAACTGCCCAGAGCCTCCTCCACAGCAGCCGGGGCAAGACTCAGAGGCTCCACTAGTGTGCGGCACCCCAGCACAGACAGAGGAAGCCAGGACAGGGTGTGAAAGGTTGCTGTTCTCACAGGAGAGCACACCCGGCGTGCCTACCTCTCCCTGCAGGGCTCTGGGCTGCCCCGACGGCTGCCCTGCCTGCTGTGGCTCAGGGAATAAAACTGGAAGCTGCTCCCCATGTGCGGGACGTTGTTGTCCTAGCTGACACATGCACCAACTGCCTATGACTACCTCTATCACCATGAAAAGGCAGAAGAATTTGATGCAGTTCAGAATTACCCAGACAACCCGAGAGGGTGCCTGGGGAGATAGATTTAACCAATCTTCCTGAAAAAAAATTCAAAATATAGGTCATAACCATGCTGATGGACGTGCAGAGAAATATGCAAGAGCTAAAGGATCAAGTTAGGAGGGAGAATACAGAAATAAAACAATCTCTGGAAGGATTTAAGAGTAGACTGGATGAGGTGCAGGAGGCCATTAATGGAACAGGAATCAGAGAACAGGAATGCAGAGAAGCTGAGGCAGAGAGAGATAAAAGGATCTCCAGGAATGGACGAATATTAAGAGAACTGTGTGACCAATCCAAATGGAACAATATTCGCATTACAGGTGTACCAGAAGAAGAGAGAAAAAGGGATAGAAAGTGTCTCTGAAGAAATAATTGCTGAAAACTTTCCCAAACTGGGGGAGGAAATAAGTCTCTCAAACCATGGAGGCCCACAGAACTCCCTATACAAGGGACCCAAGGAAGACAACACCAAGACATATAATAATTAAAATGGCCAAGATGAAGGACAAGGACAGAGTATTAAAGGCAGCAGAGACAAAAAGGTCACCTACAAAGGCAAACCCATCAGGCTATCATCAGACTTCTCAACAGAAACCTTATAGGCCCAAAGAGAATGGCATAATATATTTAATGCAATGAAACAGAAAGGCCTAGAACCAAGAATACTGTATCCAGCACGATAATCATTTAAATATGAAGGAGGGATTAAACAATTCCCAGACAAGGAAAATTTGAGGGAATTTGCCTCCCATAAACCACCTCTACAGGGTATTTTAAAAGGACTGCTCTAGATGGAAGCACTCCTAAGGCTAAATAGATGTCACCAAAGAAAATAAAATCACAGCAAAGAAAGCAGACCAACCAAATACTGACTAAAGGCAAAAAATAAAATCAACTACTCATAAAAGCAGCCAAAGAAAACACAAAAGAGTACAGAATAAAACACCCAACATATAAAAAATGGAGGAGGAGGAATAAGAAGGGAGAGAAATAAAGAATCATCAGACTGTGTTTATAGCTTCATAAGCAAGTTAAGTTAGACAGTTAGATAGTAAAGGAGCTACCCTTGAACCTTTGGTAACCACGAATCTAAAGCCTGCAATGGCAATAAGTACATATCTTTCAATGATCACCCTAAATGGAAATGGACTGAATGCACCAATCAAAAGACACAGAGTAACAGAATGGATAAAAAAGCAAGACTCATCTATATGCTGCTTACAAGAGACTCAGCTCAAACCCAAAGACATACACAGACTAAAAGTCAAGGGATGGAAAAAGATATTTCATGAGAACAATAGGGAGAAAAAAAGCATATGTTGTAGTACTAGTATCGGACAAAATAGACTTCAAACAAAGAAAGGAACAAGAGATAAAGAAGGACATTATACAATGATAAAGGGTCAGTCCAACAAGAGGATATAACCATTATAAATATATATGCACCCAATACAGGAGCACTAACATATGTGAAAGAAATACTAACAGAATTAAAGGAGGAAATAGAATGCAATGCATTCACTTTAGGAGACTTCAACACACCACTCACTCCAAAGGACAGATCCACCAGATAGAAAATAAGGACACAGAGGCGCTGAACAACACACTAGAACAGATGGACCTAATAGGCATCTATAGAACTCTACACCCAAAAGCAGCAGGATACACATTCTTCTCAAGTGCATATGGAACATTTTTCAGAATACATCACATACTAGGCCACAAAAAGAGTCTCAGTAAATTCAAAAAGATTGAAATTCTAGCAACCAACTTCTCAGACCACAAAGGCATAAAACTAGAAATAAACTGTACAAAGAAAACAAAAAGGCTCACAAACACATGGAGGCTTAACAACATGCTCCTAAATAATCAATGGATCAACGACCAAATTAAAATAGAGATCAAGCATTGTATGGAAACAAATGACAACAACAGCACAAAGCCCCAACTTCTGTGGGATGCAGCAAAGGCAGTTCTAAGAGGAAAGTATATAGCAATCCAGGCCTATTTAAAGAAGGAAGAACAATCCCAAATGAATAGTCTAAAGTCACAATTATTGAAATTGGAAAAAGAAGAACAAATGAGGTCCAAAGTCAGCAGAAGGAGGGACATAATAAAGATCAGAGAAGAAATAAATAAAATTGAGAAGAATAAAACAACAGAAAAAAATCAATGAAATCAAGAGCTGGTTCTTTGAGAAAATAAACAAAATAGATAAGCCTCTA